CGTAATCTTCGGGAGCACCTTGTAGGACAACAACAACAACAACACAAACAATAGCAGCAGCAACAGTGGTGACATCACTAACTGACAACAGACAGATTCGTCCAACAAGAATAATGACAGCAAGCACATTGGGAAAGATAACGGTTTGAGAAGTGATCACAATGTGCCACCTTCTCCAATGTGACAAGTAGTGAGATATTAGTGCTTGCATCTGAATGAAAACCGAACAACACAACGAATAAGAAGCAAGACTGCAGCATCCGCGTGTACATCAAGCAAGGCTAGTCAATTAGATTAAATGCAATGGCAACGTCAGTTGAAGTCTGTAGAGCGGCTGTGCCGTGATCGAAGTCTGTGTAGCTAGGGCCCCAAGCCGATGAGTGTGTAGCAGCGTCGGAACTGGCCGATGTCCGTGATATCCGTCTCAGGAACGAAATAGACCTCAAAGACCGCATCTGGGACATCCGAAAACATCCGAAAAACTGAAGGCGCCTCGATCTGACCCAATCGGAAACCAAACCGTTTCTCGATGCGCTTGTCCTATCGTGGTACAATGGTATCTTCAAGAAGTGGACGTGAGTTTCCGGCCGGCAGAGACGCATGTCAGAAATTCGTTGCCTCTTTTCCACTGCTATGCAGTGCAGAGGATGCAACTAAGATGCAAATCATCAAGGCTTCTCCGGCTCAGTGGATTTGGTGCCTCAAAACTAACTGGCTAGGCAGGTCTGATGTGTCACCAAGATGATAGAGCCAGGATCCTCGAAGACTTGCAACGTAGTTGAACATGACAGGGTTCTGCTTCAGATGTCTTAAGCAAGTGCGTAATGTCAGAGATCGACGTCTTGCTGGCGAAGCCATGTCAATGTCTCCAGACTGGCCACTAGTAACCAAGACATCCACCCGTCACGCAAATGAGCTTTTGTGTGCACGTCCTCTCCCAGATTGTCGATGGAAAAATAGAAGGACACGGTCATCTCACCTGCATGCACGGACAGCCTTTTCGGGTCATGGAATGTTATTGAGCAGAGCAGTTTTATTCAATGAAATGGCTAAGGTCCTTGCGCAAGGAGCCGAAATTGAGAGGTGGAATGTACCTGGAAGGATTGCGTGTTCGTATCGGACAGGCCGCATCGCGCAACAAGCCGGGATCACAAAGCTGCGTAGCTGTAGGATGTGAATGACAGCTGCCCATTCCTGACTAACGTTCAGGCAAGGGTATCTTCTCTGGAATTCAATCGTTCTGATTACTCTTGCTGTCCGCCTGCATTCTGACCTGATTCCATTATTGGTTTTTCGATGCAATGGGTTGCTGTAAAGAGAAAAGACCTGATGTCCTGCACCTACATCAAACTGGTAACTCCTCTGCATGCACACCAAACGAGAGGTCAGAAACAAGGAAGTTGCCGCTGTAGCGCCAGGTGAGATGCAGATGCTCAAGCCGGTGATTACCATGAAGATCATCATGATGACGATGACAGTAATTTTGATGCCGACAATGACGATAAAGACTTGAGCCGATGGCATCGATGATACCTGTCATCATGAGCAGAACTTCAGTCCCGAGATCATGACAGTTGTAGTAGTAGGTGAGATGGTGGTACCATGACGGCTCTGGTGACGATGATGATGATGGTGGTGATGATGATGATGGCACAGAACCGCAATCGAAGTCACTAGAGTCAGAGATTTTCTCGATAGGGGCTTGGACATTATGTGAATTTGTCTCTAGCTCTGAGGCACTGGCTTGACGACGGCATTGTCACGTGCTTGGACGTCGCACTTGAAGAAAGTGTACCTTCACCGCGCATTGTGGGGACTGTGGTCCGGCTGATGGTCCGGAAGCTTGGGCTTATGCTTCTCGGTGAAATCACCAAAATTGCTGGCGGCGACCTCTCACTGGAATGGAAGACATCAGGCTCGCCAGGTCTGCACAGTCTCAAACACCACAATCCAAGCCCATGGCATCTAAAGGCAGCACATCAAGACGAGAGTACCTGCAGGCCATGTCTCTCCGTCTTGCCTTTGAAAAGCTTGGGGTCGGTGACTCCTGGAAGCATCAACCAAACGACCGATATGCTTCAGAAATCTCGTGGACTCGGTGCTGAGGTTCCGAAGAGTATTGATGTGCGCCAGATCAAACCTTCGGCTTCAATCCAGTGCGGTTGTGCTTGTGCCGGCGCACTTGAGCACGCGCTCAATCAAATGAGGATGTTCCTCCAAAATGTATTGGGTTGCCTCATTGCTTCGCGTTTAGGTAGTGCTCATCTAGCAAAACTACGACTGCGAAAAGTGGAATTGAAAGCAATGGCACAGCGTCCTTCGCAATACTCTGTTTCAGCTGAGGCCGATGCAACAGAACTGTCGTAGCCAGACAAGACCTTGCAAGCCATACGTCGCAAGAAAGCTCCATTGCCCGGATGCGGCGGATCGACCCGAACTTTGCGCCCGTGCCTCATACATCCGATGGAAGGCTTCACAAATTTCTCGATCATTCCAGCCCTCAAGGCTTTCCTCGAAGGTTCCCGCGGCATCTGACGTTGTGGGCAGTGTGTGAGACTGAGTGCCCAGCGAAGGCTCGAAGAGCCCTAGTTTCAGGCACAGGATGGCACAGGGAAGGCCGTGACATGTCTTGAAGGCAACGGCCGGCAACGGCAGCTGTAAGGATCTCAGATCGTGGCTCAAAGTGCTCGTGTTGCAAGGCGGCCGCCATGGTCTCAGACAGTCAGCAGGATAGAGGAGCAGCACGACCGCGGAGCTTGCTGAGGCTACCAGTAGAACTTTCTAGCGAAGACTGAGAGGTTGGCTGGTTGGCGTGGCCACGCAGAGTTAGTGCCAATCAAGTCTGCAGGGCCCGCACGTTGCCTGACTGCCATCAGAACCCTCACTCATGCCGATGAGACTCATGGTGCCTCACATTAATGTCAAGAAGAACTCTGGCAGGTGTTCGCTTGCAGAAGCCATCTTACCATGAACGGATTGCATGCTGAGCGGTTCGGATGCAGTACACCACTTTTCACGTCTTGCGAGCGACGATCCTCATGTACGTACAAGCTGCCACACCATACATACTGTGCGACTCCCCGATCTCCACAGGAGACAAGCCTGTTGCACGAACCCACTTACCAATGTCAGTACAAACCTCGACATCGAAGTGTTGAGCTTTCAAAGAGTCCATCAGGTCTTGCAGTCCGCGGGGCATAAAGGCATCGCAGAGCAGCAAAAGCCCCTCGGACCGCAGAACTGCCCTTGCCGACTCTACGAAAGCAGCTTTGTCCTCAATGTCTGCCACTGCCTCGACACAGATTAGGGCATCGAAGGCATCGACTCCATACTTTGAATGAAGCGAGCAGGCATCTGCTTGTTCATAGCGCAAGCTTGGAGGAAGCGGAGCATGGACACTGTTACAGAGGCGGATATTGTCTTCCGAATCATCCGTTGCAACATATTCCTCAGGTTCGGCGACTTCAGCCAAATATCGCGCACCACCACCTCGCATACAGCCGACCTCCAAAACGGACTTGCCTCGCAGGAGGTCCTCTCTTACATCAGTGATAGCCTCACCCCGTGTCACGGCAACATGCCAGTACAAAGCTGCTCCGTACATGTGCATCTGCCACTCCCAAGAACCTTTTGGGAAGCCTTTCTGCAGCACGATTTCCGGGCGGGGGATTGGCATTCCAAATTTGCCGCCAGAGTTACAAATATCAAGAATGGGTGGGTAGGTGGAAGCACTTCTTTTGCCCAACCACTTCTCGAGCTGAAAGAAGAAACGGCTCATGAGTGTCTCCGGCAGATAGTTACGCCAGTCCGGGAGCTCTGCAACATATCCGCGCTTTGGATTTTTCCTCGCCCAATACTTCCTGACCGCAGCATGGATGTGCCACTCCCTTCGAAAGGAGGCATGTGTCCTTCTGCGAAGCGCTCCGCAGAATTGCATGGCTACGGATGCAGTGAATAAGAGAAGCTCTACAGTAGCTGAACCTGGAGCATAGGAAGCTACCGGACTGCCACTCCGGCCCAGTCCGTCATATCCCGAGAACCCAAAAACAAAGCCACATCGGAGCATGCGTTCCCAGGCCTCTCTGTGGGAAACTTCTTTGGCGCTCGACATCCTGCAAACTGCCTGGACAGAGCTCGAGCACAGACGCTCAGACACCATTCCACAATCTGCATAGTTGCCCCCCACCTTGCACATCAGCTCCATCTGTACAGGATCTTCCTCTACGTTCATTAGGAATATGTCTGTTGAACTTGGGTGCTGCGCTCAAACCAAATTATCGCCTGGTAAGATGCTGCCTGCACATGAACAAGCACTTGTGTTAAAGATGCGCAGCTGCCATGTGGTTCTTTGTGTCTGCGCCCTGCTTGAGACCACCGGCGGGGCAATCATCAAGCCCGCATTCGTGCAAAGCCAAACCCCCAAGACCATGGTGCTTGCTTCAAGGCCGCTACTCGTACCTTAAGCCTCTAAGCACATGCCTCCCACAAGTTGGACGCCTCTGTGCGAGAGAGGCCGTCGGTTTGGCCTGTCTTCCGAAAACCTTTGCCTCTAGCTTTGGCCGTCCGCGGTGCCGTGCAAGGCGTGCAGCGCGGCTGAGAATGCCCCTCAGCGTCCTGGTCCGGTCAGTGATGTTTCATGACATGAATGGCCAAGTCGGCACCTGTCCACCACCTCTGCAGTAAAGGCTTCAGTGTCTCTGCTCCGTGTGGATGCCTGACCTCCCCAACACACGAGTGTTGATGCTCTGCACAATGGAAAGCAACTAAAGAAAACAATGCAGTCGTAGCGAGCTGAGCTTCGCACTGTTGGATCCTAGGCTTTCTTCCAGAATCCTCTGAACGACCTGCAGCACCTCAGCTCGACAGCGCAACAGCTCTGCCGCAACACAAGGTATGGGTGCTTGCACGCAATACCAGGTTAACAACCTCCAATCCTGCAACACACTCAGGATACTGCTTCGTCGCCAGTGGTCATGGCACGCTGAGCTTCCGGAATTCCGGTACGATGGGAAATGGAGACGATGCTAAACGGAACTTTTCTTCATGCTCAGGGTGAACCGAACCACGCACATTCAGGTTTGTCAGAGTTTGGAGACTCATGCTTCCAACCAGCCTCAACAATTGTTCTCCTGTTTTGAAGCTGCGCCCTTCCTATGCCTGACCCGTTTCCACCAGCTCTTCTGGGATTTGCAAACTGCCGCCGGGAGCTAAGTAGCTACCTCAGCGATCCAAAGCCGGAAACAGGCAATGGCTGCAGCAATCCGGACGTGATCCCAGACGCACGCAGCAGCAGAGGCCGACGAATTTACTACGACAACAAAGAGCAGAGCGCAAACCCGACAGAGACATCAGCACGTTCCCGTGTTTTGCAACTCAGCGCATCGGCTCGGCTGATCCCCAATCTCATGCCGTGTCATCCCGCCACCTCGAGCTGGTCGGCTTCTGGCGGCATCTCCTGGCTCTTGCTGGCAGCGCTTGCGCTTCTACTCGTTTCAAACAGGACACACAACCGCGGTCTAGACTGCAGCCCTTAGGACGGCCCTGCACCCAGAAAGTTCTGCTCAAGGGAAGCCACGAACCAGTCATCAAAACCTGAGCAAGCCAAAGCAGATGTCCTCTTGGTCGCCACTCTTGGGCCAGTGGCCCAAATCTTCCATGACCTGAACCCGACTGCAATTGAAGGAGAAGATGATTGCCCTGCCCAACGCCAACAACCCACGGGCCACGACTCGACGAAACTTGTTGTCAACGGTAAACCGCACTTGAGCGTAGTGTCCACCGAGCCTTCGGAACGGAACAGAGTTCACAAGCGCAGCAGTGATCCAGACTTCCCAACGAAAAGTGAATCCTGACTCATTCTTACCAAGATCGGCCTTTGGCCGTCAAGCCTCCGCCCGTTTCTGCACTCCTCGTTAGTCTCGAACATCGCATACACCTCCGCGCCTGCAGAACTTGAGACCGTGCCCACGATTCTTCTTTCTCGGAGTGACGGCCCGAGCCTCCCTCTCCATACCAGCCCAAGGCCAAGTGTTCTGGCACGAGAGGGTACATGAAGTCGCGCACATCCTGCTCTGTGATGCCATCAGGCTTGACAGTTTCGTCGGGGAAGGTGATCTTGAGCGTCCTGCCAGGAACTGCTTGGAACCGGTGCACACAAGGCTGCACTCGGCAGCCGTGCTCTCGACCTCGCGGCTCCTCGTTGTTTGCTCCATATTTGGTTTATAGCTCAGCGGCCTTACCAGATCCTCCATGTCCTCGAAATTTGTCAATTGAAACTCAGAGCTGCTTGGCACGGGAGCGAGGGATTGAGAGAGAGCGAGAGCACGCAGGAAAATGACAGTACAAGAGGGCACGGAGAGGGAGGGATGCAACGCAAGGCCGAAAACGCACGCATCCCATGAAGCCTCTGGAAGGAGGGCATCGATGCGCCGAATGTATCTGTCAAGTAAGTGGAAGTGTCCTGGGCGGACATGCCCAGCCCATCCGCTTCGACGCCACTCCAGCAAATGTTTGCACTAGTACGTCTAGACTCGGGACATCATTGGGGGCAAAGGCGCCTTTCTTGCCCCGGCCGGTCTGACCACGCCACTTTGACATCCTCAGCCCAACGTGAACACGCATTTTACTTCATATCCCGGTGGATCTTGCAAAAAACACCGAATACGAAGACTAGCGATGACTATAGGGATTTGGGAGCTCCCCCCACAGCGCCCAGGCTCGGAGCGGTGAATGGCGACGTTTGCCGCCATCTCCGGGCTTTCCCGTCGCCTCCTCGTCCTCGTCCATCCTGCGGCTTATCCGAAACAGGACTCCCCCTATGACTTACGCTTTGTTTCGCGAAGTCTTTCTGGGGCATTCACCGAGGCAGCGAGCGCAACACAGGAAGCGATGCACGCCTTGGAGGCAGAGCTCTCTCGACCAACACACGCAACCCCGAACAATCACCAAAACATGCATCGAGGGAGATCATGTGATCCTGCGCATGCGGCCTTCGAGCACGCGCACATGTGAGAAAGTGCTTCCCCGCCATCGTGCGAAGACCGTTTCCGCACCCGCACTCGTCCCCTCGTCCATTCGTGTCAGCTTCGAGCTTCGATCGGATCGGACGAAGAGCCCGAAACAGCCAACGGGCTGGCTCTTCGCTCTTGGACGAGATGGCCAAGACAGGTCTGCGGCAGAGCCATGGCGTGCTGAATCCTCCAGATCTCGGGGTAGAATTCCAGCACTGAAGCTGGAAGCAAGCAGTTCCAAATCCTGACTGCTCTGTCATTCCGAGCACACACTCGTTTCGCTGGAGAGTGCAGGCCTGACCGCAGTTGAAACCACGGAAGGCGCGCAAGGTTCTGCGGAACTGGGAAGTTGCCGAATGAAAGAGCCAGGTCTGTCCAAAAGGTGCAATGTAACATAGCTTGTCGCGAAAGTGATGTAATGCGGCCAGAGATGCCGCACGCGTCCGGTTTGGTCAACTGAGGCTCGAACCAGACCTTGCCCAAGTGCCTGCACAGGGCTGGCATGCATGTGAGCTACCGCGAACATCCCAACAGCAACGTGTTCGACCCGCCCCTTCTCTCCGTATCACTGACGGTGCAAGATGCGTCTGAGACAGACCACGAGCGATGCACATCAAACATTTAGGACATCTCCTGGAATTGCTCCTCTACCAGCGACTATCCTACACAATGCAAGACAGATATGGAACCGGACATACAAAACCCAAACACACACACACACACAACTGTATGCACGCCACATTGCACTCAAACTGATCTGACACACACGGATGCAACATGGGTGACCAGGATCCCCAAAAAAGTGGCAATAACCTTTACAAGTACGACGGCAATAACACAGTCACGCGAAGAGCCAAAAGAGCAATGAAGCGCCGACAACAATTTCAACAAAAAGGTAACAGAGAACAGAAACGACAAGCAGCTCTCAGTCTCAAAGATCACAATATGATGAGAATGACAGCAATAGCAGTGCCACTGAAAGATACCGAGCAGGACAGCGATCACGACAGGTACACTGATGATGCATAATGCTGTTGCTGGCAAGCGAAAGACAGAGTCGCACATAGCCTCCGAAGACCTCATCCGAAGTCTTCTTGCGCATGAGAGGCCCTTGTGCAGACCGATGCTGCCCAACAGACCACCCTGAGCGTTGATGCATGTCAGCGACCTCTTACACTCGGCGGTATTTTCACACATTCGCTCGGCTGCTCCGGGTAACGCCGTCTTCTCCAAGATGCAAAGCTTAAGGCTTGTTCAAGCAGAGACATAGCCGTCGCAACGGGCAGCAACACCTACGTAAAATGAGAGACCAAGTCCAAGGGTGCAAGGATGGATGGACGGACGGACGGATGGATGGACGGATGGATGGATGCAGAATGATACAGAACGGACTAGAAAAGAGAACTGTAACAAGGACAGAGATCAAGTGACCTCTGGGCTAATCAATCTTTCCTTGCGCGACAGATGAGGCAGGCAAGCGCGAGAAAGATCCGACAACTGACAAATAAGTCGATCACGTGTCCAGGCAGGCTGGGTGCGACGAGCGCCATGGCACCACTAAAGAAAGGTAGACAGGGCCTGTGTTCGGGCACGTGCGCACGGAACTCGGTTTCCAAGGAAAGCTGTTCGCTACTGTTGTCGAATGCCCTTCGAAGGTAAGGCTGATGTCAGGGTCTGTGAATTTTGCTAGCCTGCGCTTGCACACGATCTTGTTCAACTGTTTGCAAGTGATTGCTTGAACTGTTGAGGCACAGTAGACATGCAATCAGCTCAGGCCATGAGCATACTGTTCAATTGCTGTCCACTGTCTACCTGGCTTCCCATCGCTAAACGTTGGCCTGGTGTAACAAACATCTGAATCTTCCATCAAATATGGGCTTGGGAAATTGTTGCCAGTGCGTTTGTTGTGACCGTGCTTATTTGTGGTGTATATATGTATAAAATTTTGCACGGAAACAAACACTATTCGCAGACGATGATGGCTAGGACTTGCAGAATCGAGCGTGATACTGCAGACACAGCTGCAGGAGCAACGCGGAATGCACACTGGAAGACGTGATTGGGTCCAGGCGCCGCGCGGCTTGGTCGATGGAACCATCACGGAGCACATCAACTTCTTCGAAGCTTTCATTCATTTCATACAGGCAACGTTGTGATGCTGTTCGAGAGTGTGGCTGTTTGGGTGAGGCACCCGAACCAGAGTGTGGAATTATGGGTGAGGGTGAGAACATGACCAGACGATACCGGCCATGAAGAATGCCTGATACATTCATTCTCGTGTTTCACTCTGCATTTAGAGCTTGCCTTGCAGTTCGGTGCTCCCTCCTTGTGTTTAAAAAAGAAGATTCACAAAGCAGCTTGTTGAGGGCCATACTTCTGAACTCGGAAAAGCGAGTGTGATTCTCTGGGTAAAACCTCCGGAAAAAACCTCGGTGTGTGCATGTGGTTGAATATGTGTATGTGTGTGTGTGTTGCAATGCAGTGCTGCGTCGTAACATGGTGTAGTGTACTTTATGCACATCTATTGTTAATGTCGACACGACCGTCGGCAGGGTCTGAGTTCACTCCCTTCCAACCCTGAGAGAAACCTTTCCTGCTCATGATCAGCCAATGCACTGTGATACGTAGGGGTGTCTTCTTTTGCAACGCTGGTTTTTCGTCTCCTCGGCGTTCGCATCAGCATCTGTCCGTCCAGAACCCTCATCTTTGCCGGCATCACGACAGTCCTCGACACCCGGTGCAAGCCGCACAGAAGTTGATCCCAGCTCTGACTCAACTCATGAAGGCGGCCGCCTGCGCATCCTCGACGAAGTCAAAGCCACCATCCCGGCCGTCATCCATGCTGTGCAGCATCTGCCTGGCACTCATCTACAAATTGCTAGCCGCTAGCCATCTTCAAGAGAAGCAGACATCTCAAATGAAAGGCACGGGCTTTGGTCCATGCGCAGCGGAATGCATCGAGAGCTTCATCGGTGCGCGAAAATTGATTCTGAAGTCTTGATAAGTCAGCAGGTTCGACTTGCTTTCGATGCTTGGTGACTGTTTACTTATCGACTACTAATTTAGAAACAACTCGTTAGGACCGCAAAAGCTGGTCAAAGATGCCTTGCCTTGTACAAGTATCAGCTTTGCCGGGAAACCGATACCCCAGAGCTGCTTGCAAGACTACAGACGCCACTTCAAACTGGAAAGAAACTCTGGTTTCCCGGTGCCATGTCCAAACACGCACCAGTGTCTGTACGTACGAAGACTCGCAAAGAGAGGCCGATCTCTTCACCCACTAGGCTCGAAAGGAAAAGGACTTCGTCCCTTTCACCTTTCGCCTTCCTTGAGCTCAGACAGGTCCCATGGCCGTGCATAAAGGTCCTGGACATTTCAAGCACACAACGCGATGTGGCTGGGACAACCTCAGATACCTAATCTGCAAGATCACCGAACAGAGGCCTGACTTGCTCCAAGTGCATTGGCATTTCCTGTTGATTTCTGCTAGGAAATAGTCGCCTCAACTGCCCAGCGCGCTGCTTTCACTTTTGTTATCGGGAGCATGCATGTCTGTGCTGATGTAAGCTGAAACGATTCTCTTGATCTTGCTTCTGTCAGAGCAACTTGTGATGCAGGAGGTGGAGATGTCTTGGAGCATCGCCGCAATCACCTTGCAATGTACGACACGCAACTGCGGGAGCAAATGTCTTCAAAAGCGAATAGCATGCAGCCCAAAGCCTGTTATGTGTTTTAGGAGTGCTTCCAAACCCACCTGCAGTGCACCGTCTTGGTCCATGCTTTCACACGGCTCTCCGGAAGCGAACTGGTCCAAGGTTCCTGGCCAAGCAACGGATTTGCGCACCCAGCCACTGCTTAGCACGTGAACTGATTCGCCCAGACGACACGGATTCAACCCTGTGCTACTGTGCTAAACATCAATTGTCCTCAACCCTTACCCCAACACCTCAGCCATAGTTCCCAAACCCAACAGACCCTATATTCTGAATCCAAAAAACAAACCTAAACACCACGAACCCTCAACACCATAAACTCCTATTCACAAGGGGCTGGGCTGCTGTTTTAAAACCAAAACCGTCATTGACCAGAAAAACCTTAAACTCTAAAATTCCAGAACCACAAAAACCGAACGCACAGTAAACCCTATCAAAAACCTCAAACCCTTAAAGCGCACTCTTTGGAATCTCACGGGCTTGAATCGGGAGTGCATTAACCGCAATGTCTCAAACATGGCAAGTTCCCAAATCGCGCTTCAACATGCGGACGGAGATCGTCCGGTCAGCATTCGAGTCCGACAATACGACAAGGACTGCGACATAACCATCTCACAGGAGTGCACAAAAGGGTTCATGAGAATATTTTTTGGGTATGACTGCCTGCCACCGCCCTGGGAAAGACAGCCGCCGGTGCCTGGTGTGCGCATCCTTTGCTCGACGAAACCATGTGCAGGCCGCAACTCCTTGCATGTGATTCGGCGATAGGTCAGCTCGGTCGAACGTTTGGCTCTTGCTCCAAGGTGCGAGGGTATGTCAAGATTCATGACGAGTGTCAGCGCAAACCCGGGTTAGGGGCGGGCAGCTGGCGAGTCCGCGATGACCTTGAAGTCCAAGATTCACCTGACAGCTTCCCTTGCTCCATCCCAGTATGTCGACGAAGCAACGGCCGCTGAGTCATGTAGGCATAAGATGTCACGACAATGGAGTACATTCCTGTTCGGAGGTTGGCATGTTTCTTCCTGCGGCAAGTGCGCTAGAAAGTAGAGGAGCACAGGGACTGGAAAGCCTGGCGGGCAAACGAAGAGAGGTGTGCATTCCGGCAGCGGGCCCAGCGGCTGGCGTGGGTCCAGCGCATGGGGAGCCTGGCCCCGGGAAGCCCCGGCGAAAGCGACGCAGCGCCGCATAAACTGAGCCCTCGCTCTCTCCCGCCCTCCTTGCCTGGCACGGACCTAAGGAGCTGCTCTCGGCCAGCGCGGCCCCGGCAGCTTGAGAAGGAATTGCGTGCAAAAAGCTGGAAAGAGAAGCTCTTCTTCGCTCGTTTCACTTCTGACCCCGCTGCAGGGACAGGACGGTGGTACTGCTGCATCTCGAAAAGGTAATCAGCGATTTGGTCCTGGCAACAGTTGTGTGTACGATACTCCGGACACAGACTTGAAAGCCCGTTTCGAGCAAGAAACTCGTCACTGAGTCCGCACTGTCACTGTGCACCTCGTTCAGGCCCATATCATCAAAGGCAGCTCCCTCACGAGGTTGCGCTAACAGTTGTGCAGACAGCATCGGTGCGCAATGTCTACAGATGGCGGAACCTGCCAACGGCTGCGGAGCCCTACCCTTGGGGCCTCTGCCTCCACTGGCTCAGGCTCAGGAGGTGGAGCCTTGCTGGTTAGCTGTCGGAGATGCGTTTGGGATGGCACATGATGGCACACATGTGCTCCCCGGCCTTTGCTCTGTTCCCTCCCTAGCCACGTTATGTGCCCTCTATGCCTAGTTCCCCATCCCTTTGTACAGGTCGGCCTGCCTGGCATAACGGCATAACTCTCACACACGGCAGCATCCCCGAGTCCTGAACAACCCTTTCTGGGGGAGGCCTTGGAAGGCTGATACACGGCTGCTACAAATCTCAGAATGGGAAGATCGAAAGCAAGAGAAGAAACCCTGGCGCGGCCTTCTCCTCTGCCTGCAGCTGAACATCGAGAGCTGCTTTCTGAGATACCATCTACCGCACTTAACATGGTAGACGGTGAGATGGACATAGGTCAACAGGTCGGGATGGCCTCAAACGAGGCCTTTTGTCGTGGCGCGAAGCGCTTGGCTCGCTCGGCACGCCGCCGCTCCTCCTCCTGCGCTTCGCATTCTGGAACACTGGAACTATCTCTCCAAAGCTGCACAAGAAGGCCCCGATAAAGTGGTACAGCAGGCACCTTGTCCACGGTAAAGACAACCTCGCTGGTTGGAGTGACAGCAAAGGTGCACGGAAGCCATGGCGAGTGTACATTCAGCCGGCAGGGCCTCAGGAACCTTTGCTGAAGCACCTCGGCACTGCTCACAGGACACTTGAAAAGGCAGCTGGGTCATTTCACGGACGCGAATCTGTGGACCTGGCTGGATTGACCGGAACTCAGCTGACAGAATTGCACGACGGACACGAACCCTACGATCTCACTAAGCTGCTTGTGCAACAGCAAAGCCCAAATGTGCGACGTGGACGAATTCTCAGCTGAGACACGAAGACAGAGCGAGCGATGGGGTTGCACCATGTTGGCCCCGCACGACACTTGGTGCCTTTCGGATCCACACACGAACAAGAGAAGTGCGGTTGCATCAAATCAACCCATGAAGAGATGGACCTGCGAAGGCCTTAGCTCAGCTGACCCATGTGCATACACCTCAGCCAGCATTGGCCTATGCTGGAATTCCCACTACAGATGAGAGAAGAAAGAACAACTCACAGCAATCTCGAAGCACAGTTTGAGTGGCTCCAACCATTCTCCTCTCCCTGCCTGGGATGCCCACACAACGGTCTGCTCGTGGACAACTCCCTTTCGTCACCTACAGAAAAACCGCACGAAGCCGAGTTAAGCAGATGCCACCTTCTCTTTGATGAGGCCTGCGGCCTGAGACTTAGGACAGCGCTGAGAACGAGCTTCAAAAGATCTCTTCTGCATTGTCGCATTTGGTTTTTGGCAGCTTCCCGCATTGTCAGAAGTACAGACACGGTTGGAGGCTGTTGGCTCCACCTCTTGTGTGGCTTGACCTTTCCCCTTTTGGATGAACAGTCCTTTCTGTTTGGATGATGCGAATGGCGTAGACTAGAAAGCACTGTTCAAAACGTTGCGAGAGCCCTGAACTACACGCTGTGCTGCCCTTGCTGTGACTGCTGCAAGTTGCATTGCTCATGTGCTTAACAGTGTGCAACGATTGTGCTTCACAGCTGCAAACACGGTAGAGAAAAGCATCTCGGGTGCTCGGCAGCTTTGTATACTCAACAAATCCGTATGTGACTGCATGACAATGCGATCGGACCCTGACAAGTCTGGTATTATCTCACTGTCCGATGTCTCAATTGGTTTTTAAAATTCCCCGTGGGTGGACCCCCGCCCTNNCCCCCCCCCCCCCCCCCCCCCCACGTGCAGGCTCTAGCTGTCTGGCTGCACCGCGGGCTCTGGACTGTTCTCCGATGTCTCTTCGCACCTGCTTCTGCGTGGAGGGCAACGAGGACTACAGAGTGGCTTACCTCTCCGGTGAAACGCAGATTGCAAAGCAGCGAAGGATGTACAGCATAACACTTTGAAAAAATAGAAGAAACTCCAACATCAGAACCGACCCCAAGCCCCCACTCATCTGGCCGGGGATCACTGTCGAGTGGTGCAACACAAACGTGACTCACTGAAGCCACGTGGTGGCTTCATCCGCTTCCCAGAGAAGCAGTCGTGTTGCTCCACCCGCTAGCCCGTGGCCACTCCCTGGGGGGCTCTTGTTCAGAAAGGCAACATCAAGTCGAGCAACTCGCCATGTCTCTCGTTCTCGGTCTGTTCTCCCTGTCTTGCTGTATTGCGAAGTAGCAAACCCCCTGTGCAAGTGCACGCACTCGCATGGTTGACCAATGACGTGATCTGAACTCGAAGCGGAACTGTCCGACCAAAATCCACGAAGAAAAATGCCAGAGCGCATGACTATCAATGTTGCTGTCTGTCATGTTCTGCATCTGCCGGTGGATGTGCATGTGTACATAAGCGTGCATATTATACATACATGCATGCATGCATAC